GAGTTTTAACGTCGGGGATAAAGTGCTCGTCAAATCATACAGCGAGAAAAAGCGTTGGGAACCTGGAGTAATTGTAAAGAGAATGGGAAATGTTCTTTACAAGGTGCGTGGGACTTTCGGAACGTGGATCAGACACATTAATCAAATACTCAGAGAAAAAAAGATCCTAGACATCGCAGATAGCCAAGAGAGGTTTCCGTTAGAAGTAGTTACAGATACTCCGGTGGCAAGAACCCCAACAGACACCCATAGACATAAAATACCAAGAAAGTCCGAACGCCACAGAAACCCTGTCACCAAACTGCAAGTAGACCCAAAGAAAAAATCTTATTCGGGGGAGGTGTTAGATCGGCTTACAATAAACTCTATCAGAGCCTCCAGAGTGGCTCATAAAGAGACCAACCAATCAGCGATTAGTTAGAAGCTATGCTACTAAAATGCTACTAAAATAACAAGGTCTTGATTGGCTGTTAACATACTGTTACTATGGGATCTCAAGGTCTTTTAGCTACTATAAAACCCCTGTTTTTCTGTACATAATTGAACCTTGTAGTAAAGTGATTTCTCTGATACTCGTGTCTTCTCTCTGGTCTTTCAAGTCGCTGAGTAGTGCTAGCCTGGGGTTATCCGAATAGCTAGGATCCGAATAAAACGTTCAACCTACGAGACATAACACTTTTGAAGACTAGTATTACTATACTTTTTCATATGTATACTAATTATTTAGTCCAACCATTATTAATATCTATCAGTTTGCCAAAAGATGAATATTTTTGTTCTGACTATCATCTCAGATGCCGAGATTTGCGAAGAAATATGTTGGGCTAATAATCGGTCAGGATAAAGTTATGATCTAAATTTTCCCAATAAATACAGTTAGTCATCTCAAAGTTATGTAGACATGCAGATTTATGATTCTTAATTTCAGCGAGCCTGAATCTGGACCAATATCATATAATGTTTATTTTTGTCCGGTGCTCAAACATTGCCCGTTTATGCTATCGGCCAATTATATAGGCGACAAACCGGAAACCGAAGAAATTCAGCTATCAGAGTTACTCTGGACGATGTGAAACATAAGAGGTGGAACCCTTTTGTAAACAGAAAGGAGCCTAACCTTACTTTTTTCTGCAAGCTCATACCAATGACTACGCTTCAAGTGCCATGGCAATCCTTATCCACTGGTCCAACTATAAACCAAGAAAACACCCTTGGCTAGTCAAAATACAGTTTCGAAGGTTCAGTGTACGACAAAAATCCTTTCTAGGTAGGTTCTTTCATTAATGGAATTGTGTACCACTTGGGTTATGAGCGGTGGAAGCGATAAATCAATTTATTCACGAGTTAAATAGACTAAGAGATGACTCCAAAGCACTAGTTAAGCTATTAATGTGCACAAATCCTAGCGCTTCTAAAGGTCTTTTTGTCTCAACTGATGTGTAAAATCACCTAGCATAACCCCTTAATATAATGATTTCGGATCACTAACCAGCTCTTTAAAGGAACCCCTTAAAAAGCCGTTTCTTACTAACTGAAGTTTAATCAACTTTCAAATGTGTGTTAAAGCGTCTTCAAAAACATTATTCCTGAGCTTTTGTAATCATTGTTCCTACAGAAATTGCATAGATGCACACTTTACTTAACACAACCCCTGAATGCCTGGCAGAAAGGTTCCTGCAAAATTGGTTCTAATAATCGAAGTGAACGAGGCAATGCTCAAAATGTTTTGTCTGTCACCACTGATTTTCATCATGATAAGACATCTAAATGATGTATCCAGTACATATGACTCGGACGTAAGGCTTACTTCGTGCCTTCGATAGAAAGTCTTGCTATAATAGACCTTGTCAAAACAACTACATAGAGATCGGTAACATGAAACTCCAAAATGCACTCAAAATTCTTTGTTTTGTAAACGGTATGTATGTGCAGTACTTACTACCAGCAGTTTATCTTCGTAACACTCCATCCATACGATGCGCCATATTCTGCGCTGCAATTTTCAGTTTTAGTTCGACAGTTGGCTGTTCATACAAAATGTTTTAATCATACTGGCTCTGCAGAAAAACGTTTGTTATAACTCGCCAGCCGAAATGTGTAAACGAGTTAACTTCCGTAGATATCGCAACATTTGTGACAATCTGACCTTGCCTGTAAATTGACTTGCTTGATACAACGTATGGTTATTGAGAAAAAAATATTATCATTCCTCATATTAAGAAAATAATCTCTGTTTATTGCTATCGATCACTCACAGAGTTGTAGCGTTTCGTCATTTGTTACTTGATGGGTTGTTGCAGCTGGTTGCCGGACATGTGGAAATTCGGTAGACTCTGCTTTACCCTGTCTGACTGCCTAAGCTTGAAAGTTTTCGCCATCAATTACGTATGGTACATATTATACTAAGGAATATATGGAGATTTATTATGAAGTAAAGTAACCTCTATCCATCTAACGAAGGGTATTTAACTTATGAAGATGTGAGTAGTTCAAATAATAAAACTTCTGGTTAGACATATGTCATAATCTTCTTCAATTACTTCTAATAGATCTTCATAAGATTCAAACTCTTCCAAATTAGAGAAAATCAAAGCACCCAACTTCAGCACGAAAACGTATTCAGCTTCTACTTCTTTCGCTGAAAGGGAGTATTATTATTATTATTAGCTTTATTCAATATTATATTATTTGGTACAAAAATCGAATTCTCAGCACAAAGTATTTCAACACGTTTACGTTTCTTATTTCTTCGTTGCTCCTGATGATAAACATTCAGTGATCGCCAGTTGGATGTCAGCTGTTCAGTCAATCGACATATGAATAATGTATATTCCTTTTGCTGCATGTTCCCAGCAAACACGACATCTCTGATTAGGCGTTTTGTAACTTTTACAGCGAAAGGTTGTACAGTTTTCAGAAACGCACCGGAATAGGTTGTGTGCTTAATAGCCATATTTATGTATTAAAACAAACAATATTAGATAACTTGTTGAAATATATAGATGACAGGAACAGGTGGCCCAGATGTTTAAGCAGGCCGTCAGATTTTTACATCCAGGGAAGCCATGAAAATTAGTAGTGCCAATGGCCCACAAATCTCACGGGTCCGAAGAAACCACTTTTCGAGTGGCCAAAGTGTATGTCCTTCAGACCTAAAAATTCCACCAGTTTTGAGCACTCATCTCAGGAATCTGACATAGAGTGCTTATCGAATCAGAAGGAAATTAGTCAGGGTCACGTTAACTGACTTTCACGATCACGTGACTTAATCTAATTAAGTGAAATTCCCTACGTATTCACAAGCGCGATAATTCGGCTAACTTTGGAGGTATAAGTGGCGAAACATCAGATTTGTGAACGGAATATCAATTATGATTATCCGACGAATTGAATTAATCTAATTAATCTTTCCCGCCTTCTCCATCGTTGAATATTTTTCCTCGTTAAATGTTAATTATCTGCTTTCTCAGTTGCCTTGTATTCAGCCTTGAGGATCGTGTGGTTAAGGCCCAGTGCCACTTCAACGTTCAACATTCAGGTGAGTAGACAGATGGATAAAACAAGTAAGTGTTCAAGCATGCACACTCAAAAGAGCACGTATGTATGTGGATAAGACGTAAAATAGGTCTAAGCCAAGAAAATAATTCTATTGCAAGGTGAAAAAGTGATCCTCCAGATGATAATGAGTTGTTTTACAAAAATAGATTGCACAACGTTATGATGAGAACTGATACGAAGTTTTGTAAACGATGAGCCGTACAATATTCTATGTAATTTTTACTATGTGACCAAGCTGTTCGACTGCTAAAAATCCGGCGAAGCAGTCGAACAGGTTGAAGGTCCCGGTCTTGATCACCTCTTATTGGAACAAAGACAACCATATCATGGTATATTGCTCGATGTAACTATAGAATTAAAATTTTCCTTTAATGGTCAAGAATCAATTGAGTACACTAACGGCTTGCCATGCTGACCAATCCCTCATAAGTCTCAAAAGAAGCTTCGGAGATTTTTGTCTGTCGTCTACATTTCATACTCACGTAAAATGATCAGTGATGGTCTTTGAAGTGAAACATCACCACACTTCAGCTCTGAGTGTTTACTTTAGATCAATTAAATACAGACCATGAAAAAGCACTTGAGTCATCACTTGTACATCCACATTATTACGGCTTCTCGTCTATGATATCAGGACTTTTATATGTAAATATTAATGAGATGTTCTAAAACGGGGGATAAAGTGTATGCCAATTTTAAGCCACTTTCTGGTTGATACAACTTAATATGTAGTATAAGTGCACTTCATCAAATCGTCCATAAATTCTGAATAATTTTAAATAGATTCTTTGTGAAAATGATATGCAAAATCCAATATACAGAGCACCATCCATCATCCCATCAGTCTGTAGAAGATAATCAAAAATAATGATGTAGTGGAGTAATCGGTCGTGAAACTCGTTCAGAATCATACCACCCATTCAGGTGTTTAATAAGACTCTGGCTTGAGCTGATTACATAATACTGTCTCACCACTCTCTCGAAGGCAACATATGGGTCAGGCTCCTCGAAAGAATTTCAGTAGGAAAACCATTTCAGTCATAGATCATTTCTTCTCAAAACCACTTCAATAAGTCTGGTAAGCTAGTTGTACAAATAAACGATTCATTTTTCTAGGATTTTACCCTTATGTATCACAAAGTCATTACACCGTACTTCCAAACTCACGTATTTCAAACAGATACAGTCGAAGGGTATTGAGTTGCCTTCATTTATAAATAAATTGAAGTGGAAACATAAAATCAAACGAAAAAAGAGAGTTTAAACCGCAGGTGTGAGTAGGTTGCTGCTTCTATGAGTTTACCGTGTTTGAACTCACTGTTACGCTGGTTATACTTTAAGTCAGTGAATTAATATTATTTGTGATAATAGCGCTACTTTGGATTATCTGCTTTGTTTTCGCTACTTTGGTGTTTCTTCAAACAATCCTTTAAAAGTCTCAAATGCAGGAACAGTCAAAACGTCAAAAGTTTTTGAGCATGGTTGAGAAAATGTATGTAGAACCTGAAGAACTGGAGGAGTTGACTGAACATGAGAAGTTTGCTTTATTTTCCGCCATTAAAAGCGTATGAAAATTGCTTAGCATAATACTTTTTATCTTTTCAGGAACAAATCAAGAGATACAACAAGTGGATTGCAGATCAAGAGCATTTTTCAAGTAAGTTCTAGTGATACAAATTGTCTTTATGTCTGTTGGTTTTATTAAAGTGAATATCCCTCTTAGATAAAGTATTGTTAGTTATGTTTAGCTCTACCGGTTTTAGAATGCCTTTTGTATCCCTCATTTGACTTTATAAGGTTGAATATGGTGTAAATGCCGTACAGACTTTTTAAAAAGATACATTTTCACATAACTGTATGGAAATGATTATGTTTTGATTGCTCAATTTTGTGCAGTAATAAAATCTTAACGGTACATCAGCAGGATAACTTTAAATGGTTAGATTAAACTGCAGACTGAAAACTCCTAGGGTATTCTTATTTAAGACAAACAGGTCTCAATGAACATAGCGGAACGTATTGTATTCCGAATTCGAAGTAACCGCGAAATCATGTTCAGAGGAACCACCTAATTCTACAGTCGGACAAGTAAAAAAGTCAATTTTTCCGTAATTCTAAGTTTTCACTCGTGTGTTTTGATCTACATACTTATATACATCTTTTGGCATTAAATAATATTGCAAGTTATATGGAACAGTTAAAGGGATAGTCTATTTCCATATTATTTTCAAACCAAATTTTAATTTCGCATACAGCTAATTGTATTTTACACATAAAAATCAGAGAACTTTACAAAAAATTCTGTTTATATAGATTTCAGGTTGTAAAGACCAGAAAGCTGATAGGTATATGATAGTCTTAGCATTCAGAAAACGTAGATGTTACTTTCTTCAAAGTGCATCTACAAATCAGGCTGTAAACATTCCTTGAAACTAAGAGTTCTGCTTGTTGGTGAATTGGCGGTATAAGTAGTCGTTTCTGGGCTCGTGTTTGTGCTGATGTTCACGCGCATTGCCTGCTCCGAAAGACAAGATAAAGAGCGAATATAAGTTGACAGTAAGTAATGTGAAAGCTTCTATTAGTTCGCATCTAACAATTCTCCTAGATAAGCAGAGTGGTTAAGTTAGCTTTTGAATTCCCGAAATTGATGTACGTGTGTCTGTTTAAAACATTGGCAACAGCCCACTGCTTTATTCTGGTTAGGATATCGATGCCAGTGTGCAGTACTCCAGTTCTTCTATCGAATACTATATGTAACTATGGATGTCTTAACAAATAGGTTGCGGGATATTCTATTGAACGAATTAAGGCTTTAAATCTCTGATATAGCCATAAGCAGTCGTTTTTGATGTTGGTTGATAATAATAATGTGACTTTTGTTTGTCTAAATAATGGATAATTAAACATCACCAACCATTTATTTGTCTATTCTTTAATGGTTTGTGGCATAAACATGATAGCTGTGTGTTTGTCTAACTTCATATACCAACTGAAACAAGGACATTTTAGTATTTATCACAATACTTTTTACTATTAAGCTTCAAAATTCTTGTGGTCATGAAAGTTCTCTAAATGTAGGCAAGAAATGTTGTCTTTAATTAGTCTTTTGTGGACATTTTCATATCAGTTCACCTTGTACTTTCCATCTGTACCGTACTGCCGTATGAACTTGTCGCCCATGTTTAGTGACTTTGAAGAATCAGGCAAAATGACTGGCAACAAATGTTCGATACTATCATCATTCAAATGTAAAGTTTGTCTTACGACATCTGTCGGTCATATGCTATTCAGTAAACAGTTCATTTCTAGTTGGGTGAACAAGACGCTGTAATGTTTCGTTTAGGCTGCTGGCATAGACTTTGTTTCAAGTCAAGCTTTTTCTGGTATTTATTGAGCAACTAAATACATTCAAATATTTTTAACGTCACAAAGCATTCCAAAAGTTTTGTTTTATATGTTTAAGTCTTTCGTTTTGTCTACAGTCAGAGCGTCTTTATTTTAGACGCATTGTAAATCCCACACAAAATGTATTTTATGTCTTACATAAGAAGCAACCATATTTGGACATACTAGAGACATTTTTGTATTGATCAAACAGTGTTTATAAACGTGCTTGTAAACGTAATATTCCCTAGTGAGATCCATTAATTCGTAATATCTGATTCGGACCAAAGTAATCGGTGAACCATTATGAATTATCATCTTATCTGCAAACTGCAACCACTGAAATAAAGTACTTACCGACGAATTACACTAGATGGTTGTCCTGAAGTATAATAAGTAAATCAGATTTTAAAAAATATGACCATTTAAATTGACTTCAGTGACCTAACGGATTGAAATTGATGAACCTACAATCTAGGGTTTGATTCTATAGACTAATTGGGTGTTTTAAGCCTTTTCAGATCCACTGGCAAGCATAAGCTGAAATTCATCTGTTTTTTATGTAGTTCAATTTTATAATCAAAACGTTTTTGATGTTAAGTGCACATGAGCATGTATGTGGAGTTTATCAAGCAAGCTACAATATTCAAAGACATTAAGATTCGAGTTATAAGTTTGCTAGTAATTTCCTTTCACTTTTCATACGTATTTGTTAAAGAGGGTGCTTATATTTTTTGACCACGGTCATTAGATGTGATACTTGTTTAAAATCAATGACTTCTTACAAATATGTGTTTAAAATGTTCGGGTTCATTATAAGTTGAGAATAAATTTAGATATATGTTTTATTTACAACATTTTATTTATTGAGATACGTTCCACACATTTTTGACAACTACCAACACCACAGTATTATTCAGAATATAGAAAATTATATTAGAAAACAAGTAGGCCTGGGCCAAACGCAATCTACGAATTTTTCTGGCAATAAGGTTTAGTGCTCATGAAATAATAAATTTCTTGGCGGGAGTCAATAAGATAACTAGAGCTAAAAATCGATGTCCTCAGACAGTACATCTACACCGCAATCATATGACATAGACCAATTCGAAAAAATGGCCAGGTTAAAGGCAAATTACATCGTTTAATGCGTGTAAATTTAGGAATGTCAAACCAAATAGAATAAAATTGTTAATGTTGATATGACTCATATAGAATGTTAACTTGAATCCCTATATATGTTAAGTGAAAATTTAAGATCTGTAATCAGAATAAATATGGGTCAGATAGGGTGAGAGAGATATGATAGTGCAATTACAATTCGATCAAGTGGAAGACTGAATTGTGTGAAAATTAGTGAGACGTAATAAGGAGGGATCAATGCGATGTGAATGAACCATGTCTATGGGGGATTAATAATGATTTTCAACCAATAATAATAGTGCTTTAAACGATGTACTTTGCCTTTAACCTGACCATTTTTTTGGATTATTAATTTAGATATATAATTGTAGAACCTGAAGAGAATTTATCGAAAAAAAAATTCTTCGTTCAAATATTAGTCTTTTAATATGATTGGGATCTTTAAACGATAGACCAATTCATTTATCATCAGTAATCAGATCTTAAACATCCACTTAGTATATAATTTTATTACCTGTTTCAGATAATTGTTTAGTTCTCCTTTTGGTGCTTTAATGTAATAATGGTAAAAGTACGAATTATCTTTGATACCGTCAATGGTTTCTTGATATATTTTCAAAAAGTATCTTATAATCGAGATAATTTAAAACTGACTCTTTAATATAAATCTATTTCTTGTTAAATGTCCTGAAAGTGTGCTAACAAAATAGGAAGGGTAGCACAGAACAGTGACATATTTAAGTCAATTAGACATGCATAATCATAAACAATCTTGATAAACACATATATTCACCTGTTAGGTGTCACTTAGGAAATGGTTCCATTATGTAAAACAAAACTTCGTGTTTTCTTCATAAAAGGTAGATAATTAACTGTAAAATTATGTTTTTTTCAAGCTTAAGCCTGAAGAGCAAGTTGATTTACCTTGCTTTTCATTTAAAGAGTTCAGATCTCAGAACAATAACTGATCAAATAGTATCCTCGATACAAATAAGTAGAAAACACAAACAATTGCAACTGGAAAAGTAGTTGCGACTGTACATGTGTAGCTTAGTGGATTTTACTCTGAACTGGGTACTGTTATTTTTTGTCATTGTAAGAAATAATAATAAATTTGCCGACTAATTCAACTTACATGACATTAAAAATACGAAACATTTCTCAAGTATTCCACAGCTAACTGCTCTCTAAAGTATATACTGTTTCAAATTACTTGATTATTCACTCTAATATATTTTACTATTATTAATAGTCTCAAAAACTTTAAATTAAAATACAAGTATCAAATGAATTATGAAGCGTATAAGCATCCCTTGAAGATCAAAGGATTTTACTGTTTATTCTTTCATAAAATTCGCTATCTTAGCGTGAACAGTCCAATTATTATTTAAAGTACTCAACACTTCTATAAGTATATCTTTCTGATTAATAACCTCCCTATTATGACTAGAGGCATATTTATTTACTAGAACATTCTCAGTTCTAGACAAACAAGAGTAAAACTCACAACATCAAACTGTGTGTAACTTAACAATTAGTGTCAGAATACAATCTGTATTATAAAAATACGTAAAAAATGTAATAGATTATTTAATCCCTGCAAAATCGTAATTAGCTGAAATCAGTGAATGTTTCTAAATGTACCTATTGTTTCAGATAAACATAAACTTCACTGTTTTTATATTTACAGAACACCTTTTAAATTCTGTATTACCTGCTTACTTACGTCTGGTATCTCTAGTGGTGGAGCATAGGCTGTCCACCAGCATCCTCCATCAAACCCTGTCCTGGAGATTCTTATCAGTTCTTTCCATTTGTTATTCATCGTTTTCATGTCTGCTTTCAATTCTATATTATGCGAAATATAATTTTTATTGCTTTAGTGATACTAGAAAGAAATGTATATTCTGTTTGTTTATTCACTGAAAACCATTGCTTCATTTTTCTAGCGACCGATGGAAAAAAGTATTCCCCCCTGGAATCCAATTTTACATTTCAAGTAACCGAAGCCATTGAACATTATATAGGCATTATCGTTCACAATTAACAAATTTCCTAGGAAAGCCGTAACAGATGATGATTTTAGCGTTTTCGTCAATGAGTTTGTACAAAATCGTATTCTCATATTAG